AAGATCTGCGACAAAGTATAACAATGACCATATCTGCACCAACTATCTCATGGCATCACACAAACGAAGAGGTTCTTCAGCAGCAACACCTTCAGAAAGGTAGTGACGCTCAAGCGCCAATGTCACTGGATCCAACCACCCAAGGCTAGAATCTATATTTTCACCTTAAAGAACCAGTCCAAGCATATCCGAGCAATGCCTTCAACAAGGTAACAACGTAAAAACATCACCATTGTGAAATATAACCAACTCGGGTTAGACCTAGCTTTCACCCTGGAGCTCCAGACCGGGTGCTCGAGTAGCACCACCTTCGATTTCACTTATGCGTTGTCGCCACCACTTTTTAGCGATCCCAACAGCTACATGCGATGTGTGACCGCCGCCGTTGTGCACCACCATCGATTTCACTTATGTGTTGTCGCCACCACTTTTTAGCGATCCCAGTAGCTACATGCGATGCGTGACCGCCTCCATTGCACAACCATCCCTCTGTGTCATGCTATCGTCCATAGTTTGCATCTCATCGCCAAAGTAAGCTACCTGATCTGGAGAGAGGAACCCTCATGAAGACGTTTTGGTGGCCACCACAATCCGCAGCGAGGTCGCCGCCGTAGGCTGGAGTGGTCATCACATCGATGACAGAACACACCACCAACTACAACCTCGCAGAAGAGAGCCCTGCCTAGGCCCGTCGACTTAGGGTCCGACATGGCCGAAACTGGAGCGCGAAAGACAGATCAACATTGCCAGCGCGTGCTCACGCGGAGCGCAACCGACACTAGATCAAGGGCGCACAACCGCCAGATCGGCGCCACGCCTCCAGATCGGAGCATTGTGTGCGCCCCAAGCATGCCCGTTGTCGGGCCTCCAAGCCGTCGTGCCACCGCCTCGCACTTGTGCCAGTGCAGGAAGCTTGCAGTCGAGGTGTCGTCACGCCGCAGCCTCACATCCAAGCCACCACTGGAAGCCCGCGGCTGCGCCGCCGCATGCCATGAAGAGGCCCATGCCCACGCGAAGCCTGGATGTCCTGTGCTGCCAGTCAATCCCTTGAGAGGACAAGCAACATCGCTGCCGCCGGCTTCGCCCTCCGGCGGTGGCGTAGGAGAGGAGAGGATGGGAGGCGGCTGAGTTTTGTCGGCACAAGGGCTCGCCCGCGTCGCTCGTGGGAGCGGAACTGGACGATCCACTTCTCAGGCGAGTCAGTTCACGCCTCTACCTAGTTTTAGTAGTGTGCAGCT